TAATTATGGCATCATCAGCAATGTCTGAACAATACAATTCTTAATGACAAATTTCGGTCTCAACAAGCTGTTCTTTCCCAGTGCCTATTTAAAACATCACATCTATCACGCGATATACCTGCGTATTTATACGCGCAACATTCAGCAGGTCATTGCACAATCCCATTCTTGGCAATAATACTACTAGACTCTGTGAAGGAGTACAATCAATTCTGGCAATAACTCCAATCACCTTGAACGATAAACATTGGTTCTAAAATATTCCCCATGTCCTTGTTTCTCCGGTCATATAAGTTTCGCGATCTTGTCCACTGAATGTATATACGTGCAACTATGAACTCAGTTAAGCTGAAAACTTACAATACTATTGCGCAGCTATAGAGAATAAAGTTATTATGATTATTAACCTTGAAAAAAATGATCGCAACTAATTACTCTCTTGTAATTAGTCGGCTGATCAGGATCTGGAAACCCGACGAACATTAACCAATCCTCTGTTGTGATCATTCTGATCGATGAATGATACTTGCCACTGCAAATGATATTGTCTTCCTCAGGCTGCACATGCGGATTCTTAATGATTTGTTCAGCTCTGCCTCGTTAACCTTCAGTTTCTGAATTCTTAGTGTAATTCCTCGAATCTTGCACAACCGTTGGGGAATACATGTGATCCATTAATTTGAATAATATTCACATCCAAACAGACAACGATTAGAAACTGCTCTACTTTCGAGCCTTCTCACTAAAACAGGAGAAAATGACGACCTTCTGTGAAGTTGCAACGAAACTGTTTTGTTGTTCTTTTGAGTTTGAATAATTCCCTAGCTGCCCTGGAAACTGAATTCGTTTTTCTTTGAGACGTGAACTGTGATAATGATGACATCGTTAACAAAATTTTTTCGACTAACCTGGTCTGAACAATAGGCCACTAACTTGTCCCGCGAAAGCTGACATGAACCATCTTGTGCCATGTGACTGTCAAGAGCCGTTTTCTTGGCCGCTAGTAAAGTGAACAGCGTGCATTCGCTGGCAGCACTCTTTAAAATAGAAAACTATGTATAAAATTTTTCTGGCTTCGATAATGTTCAAACCTGTATCATTCCACCTCCTGGCCCCGGATGGGTGAAAAGAAAATATTCTGGTAACTTAAGGAGTTTCGCCAGCCAATCCATCATGATCATCTCAAGTTCTGTGCAGGAAGGGTTTGAAGTCTGAAATATTCTGGATACGCTTCTTTGCAAATGCAACATTTTCATGGCCTACCCAAGTAAATCCCATACACCCGATTCCACCTGATAGGATATCCGCTATCACAGATGGATAACTGATGCCAGTCGGAAAATATGCGAAAAAGCGTGGATGATGCCAGTGCGTACTCTGAAAGAAGACGCGGATTCATACACGTTAAAAATGCATTATCTTATCCTTACCCCAGACATAATTACTGGCTCAATATCGGCAATAATCTTCTCCCAGGATTCCGGTTCCTCTGGTGCTTCAGCAGGAAGCAGTGATCGCATGTAGCCAGGACGAACAGCACTTTCTGGATCTCGGCTGGGGAGCGATGCCCAGTAATCTGCTACGATATCCACCATTCGCTTCCCCCATTGTCGAAACTTTTCAGTATCCAATCCAGGCTGCATTTGTTCCGTCGCTTTTCACTACACAATTGCAACTGAATCTTGCTTGCTCGAACTTCCGACTATATATAAGCAAAAAGCAGCGTCATCCGTTAGTCTGTAAAGCAACAAGTTAACAATTTGCTGACATAATCGCACCTGCCACCATGAACAAATCCTCACCATTTATTTCTGATTTATTGGTAAATACAACCCACCTTAATCTAATGTCATGATCACAATGCGGGCGAAAGTGATGTCAGCAGAAAGGAAAGCGAAATAACGTTTTTCATAATCTACTGTTTCTGCATATTGTAGAAAGTTCCTAGCGACAGCAGGAAAGATGAAAGCAAGTAAAGATTATTGCTCGACGAATTCGCAGCAAACCTTTTGTTTAAGCCCAATCTGAATTTCGTGAGAATCTGCTTGTGACTGAAGTAAAAATGGC